CACAAGACCCCACACGCACGTTGACTAATTCTTATGCATATATTCGTGCCTAGCCGTGGCAAAAGAGGAAACACCAATTGCGTTATCGTGTTTCGTGTTTGATGTGCGCACCGTATTCGTGGCACGTTTGAAAATTACAGAGTTACATAAAAGATGCCGACATAGACGGCTAGTGTCGACTAAAACGACGGGCGGAATAATATTTTTCCTCGTACATTACTTCCGTGCTATTATTGTCTTAATCACATTGCTAGCCTTTGTTTCAGCGAACATTTTTCGTTCATATGGATCAGATTACCTTACCACAAAGTGACGGTCACCGGTGACCAGCATGGTGAAACGTGCTATCAGTACCTACTACCAATAAAAATACTGGTACTGGTGCTTCTATTATTATTAGTAGTAACAGTAATAACGTAATAATGGTAACACGATTATTTTATAATAGTACCACTATTGTTACTAAAAGTACTAATATCTACACTGCTACTATTGTTAGTACTAGACTGTCATACTAATATGATTGACAGTAATAGTAAGTACCAGTACTAGAAACTATAGTAAAGTTGCTACTGGTATTCTAAACATTGATAATGAAACTACTAATCCTTATATGACAAACTCCTTTCTTCTTGTCACTAGCAGTATTTATAATACTTATGCCAGTACGGATTCCGGTATTGTTATTATTGTACAAATATTAGTGATAGCACTTGTTACTAATAACACTAACACCATTCCTGTGTCATTAAATAGATAAAAGCAGAACGAAAGGCAATATTAAAAAACACTTACTAAATGTCGTTATAATATTACTATTTTATATTATTATGTATTAGTATTTTAATGTCGTATACATTAAAGTGTAAGAAGACTTCAATGTCATTCGAATACAGCTCAAGCATCCGAAAATGCGTTTTTCGAATGATATGACTCACAATGCAGGAAACTCAATACGATCCCCGGTTGAACACAACAGTGACAAACGAAACACGAAACGAAACACGAAACGAAACACGAAGCGCAGAACGTTTCACTTCGTAACAATTTCTATCCCACGTACCTAGTGAAAAATTTAAAAAGGATTTCTTTAACGTTTTTGATTTAAATTTCATGGAACGAGTTAGACGTTCAAATAATGTTTAATTTCTTTCACTAATGAGTATCAGCAGACGTTTCTTTGTAATCATAATTTTACAATTGAATAATTGAAATTAAAATTCAGGCGGTAAAACATGTACAAACCCATTTTTATGCCGATAGACATTTCTGCATTATTATATTAACGAGTAATTGTGCATTTATATATTACAAGCCTTTTTCGAAATGAAGTGAAAGCACACAATTTGAAAAAAAAAAAACTAGTAATTTCAAGAATATCATGGCGCGAACGAACCCCAAGTAAACGAAGGAATTTAGAACGGAATTACATCCAGTTCCCCTATGACCATGGAGGAATGACGTAGTTCGCTGCAAAGCACATAACCGCCTGAACTGGACGTTCTAGCTTCGTCGTTGAGAAGACTAGACATTGAAATGTATTCCCTCGTTTGTATTCACCAGCATCCCCCTGCTTTTATTCCTATTTACCCGTAGCTTTATAAAGAAGATGGAACCAAACAACAGCTGCACGTCACTGCCGTTAAGTAATCCAAAATGACAACAAAGCTTTTGTTTAAGAAAATATATTCAAGAATCCCTTCTCAATTCTTTATAGTCACATGTTCATGTAAACTGGACACTAATTCAATATCTATGGTAGAAGATACTTATGGCTCAACACAATTTAGATTTGAAATAAGTATGTAATATGGATTAGGTATTACAACAGCAGCATTGCTGAATTTCGCTCATTATTGTATTAATAATGATAATGTAAAAAGGAAAACAAGATGTCTTTCAAATATCGGTTAAGGATTTAAATAACATCGTTAAGCAAAACACAGTTGCCCCAATTCGAATCTCGGTCTAGCAACCTGTTTCTATTGATTCTTTTCCCCTCTAGATAAACGTACAAAAATCGATCGATTACTTACAGCGAACATAAAGTTAAAAAGGAAGAGCAACCACTTGATACATCCCGAAACGCAACTCATCTTCTTTTTCTGATTGTAACCGATACGGTTGTAGAAAATCAATTTCTTCAAGATGAAGAGAAACGTATATTAAATCGGCGCAAGGACAGAGATCGAGACGGACACACGCGACCCGAGGACGACACGAACGATCACTAAAAACACGCCGGCCGAAATGCGTGAAACGGGTCTGTCTCTGTCCTATCCCCCCACAGTTTTTCTCGTTCTCTCCTTCTCTTTCTCGTCTTAAAACCGTACCATCATCCACTCGGGATTCCCTGGCACCGCCAATGGCTCACACAACTGCGTCAGTTGTCATCGTGCAAACTTATTTCTTCGGGAAATTAACGTACCGTGCGATACAATAGTGGGGAAAATATGTTCGTTAATAATACTATCCACAATCTTGCAACACAAAACCGTGGAATAATACCGATAAAGAAGTGTGTATGTGTGGGAAGTTGAAGCAGTGGGTTTCATAATCTTGTAAAAATACCATAGTTCACACAATTTAAACATCACTTTCCAATTGTATACACAAAGATTTACTAATTCTTTGAACGCGAATGCTGTTTTGTATGGTGGACAATAAGTTTTGTTTATACGGTGTCTTTGTTGTAATAAACATTTATATTAGATATTTCAACGAGTAAACTACTTTAAATTAAAAAGTGTAGTATTACAATAGCATTCGTTCTCGTTCACAAACATCTCCTATAATTTCTGAAAAAATTATGTTAATATGTTAAAAAAAAAATTGAAAATTACAAATTGCTATACCTAATGTCACATTTTTACTTGCTTTACTGGTTTTTAAAGTGGTTTTTATAAAATAAGTTATTTCATTCAACAAAGTAACGTGATCGCATTCATGTATGTAGATGTAGAATGTTTGAAATATTGAACTCAACCGAGTTCCATAGAATCGAGAACACCGTACACTCTTGACACAAATAGGGTCGCTATATCGATTACTTAATAGTTGAAAAGGATATACATTTACCCAGTTTTCTATCACCATTGAAGCCATGTAGCGGTACGCGAGTATTTGACGACAAAGTTATACTTCAAATGTTCAAAGTAGGTTTAATAAGAAACTTCTGTAAACTTTAGTATATAACATTATAAAATATTAAAGACTTATGTACAATGTATTCTTCGTACATTTTTATTGACGGATAAATTAATTACTTTTCTTACCGTAATAAATTTCAAAATTCTTTCGATAATTTTTATTTGTTTCATTTGCAACAAAATTTAGCCGACTCAGCACTAAAACGTGTTGGAAGTTTGTTTGAACTATCAGTCTAGAAGTACGATGTATACATATAGTGAGATATGTACGCGAGCACGTGAAATTTTTCCAAACTTAGGTATTAAACAATCTTGAATATATTTGACATACTAAAATATAGTGTAATTTCCTGAATTCTGTACAATGATGGCGATTCGCGAAAGAATTGAATTTTTTTCAACCGCAACGGATATCCTTATCGGATGACTCACACATTCTATCGCTACATTGGAGTACATATGTTTAAACAAGCGTATGTAGAAAACGCACTGACTCAGAAATTATGACCCACCCAGCAAGAATAATCTTTGTTTTAATGTGCTGTGTAATAATAAAAATTAATGGCACATCGAATTTTGTACTTATTGGATACGATGACAATGGTTTGCAGTTTATTGTAATTCACTTAATGACGAACAATAAAGTTCTATTGTCTACACAACACATACATTAATTGTAATTTAAAGTAAACAAAAAAACATACGTCAATAACAGATCGAGCATTAACCTCGCAATACGGAGGGAAAGGGCACCATGCCCATTCTATTATTAAGTCCCATTTTGAAACCAGTTCTTTATTAAAAAAAAATTGTACAAAACTATTTCTTTGCAATAACATTTTTTAATATCAATGCAATGCTTTACTTTAGACCTTTTATTTCCAGATATGTTCAAAACAATGTTTTTACACGATATACATTTTTACGAGGTGAGTATAAAGTTCCGCCCACCTCCTGTAGTCTACGTAACAAAAAAGGCTTGGTATTGCGATGGTTAAAGGACAATTGTAGCAATGGAATGGCCGTGAAAAAGTAAACTGACGATCGAACGAATGAGGACGTTTATTATACGATATTTAGAAATAACGTGAGTACCAATGCTAGATACAAATCAAATACGAGGTGGAAACTTTGAATCGCGATCTAAGTTACAAAATGACAATCTCTAGTATGTTATTTGGTAAAACATGTGGCACCAACGATTTCTTTCATAGTCAACTGAACAGCCGATAACAATTCTGAAAATACTTATGAAAACAAGCTCAAAGAATATCAGTTCCAGCATTACAAAAAAAATACACAGACTATCGTTACTAACCCACTCATTCGGAAATGACTGACAATAATTTGAGTATACTTTTCGATATCACTAACCATTCTTTATGGAACACGTAAACAATGTTATCAGTTTTAAAAGTATCTGCAATAATAAAGTTTAACGCTATATTCCTTTCAAAAATGTAATAACCATTTCAAAAATTTCTTAGTAACCATTCAATTACAACTATCACATAATAACTAGACTACGAGGCTTCTATACATGAACTGAACATTTTATACTGTTTACAAACGTTTTTCATTTACGTAAAATCCGACAGAATCCCTAACAAAATTAAAACATTTATCTTTGATTCTAGGTTTTGTAAATTATTCCATAGAAAATCCAAAGTTATCACAATGATCCTTGATTCTACGTTTTGCAGTTTAATCCATGCTTATAGTTGCATCTACAGCCACGGTCTAACAAATCTCAGTTAGAAACGTGTCTGTCGAATATTGTGTCGCAAATGGTTCAGAGAAGTTTTATTAGCGGCAGAAATTCATCCGAAACTTCGTAAAATTCAAACTTACCGCAAAGATGAAATTGAATATGAAGAGTAGATATTTTATCATTCCCATTCCGCAACTCATTTTTGCAGATTTTCCTTGTTACAGCTGCCGTAAAAGAACTAGTCGTTAAGAATACCGAGGGCCGTTCAGAGGACGCGCAAAAGAGACGCTCAACAGGTTATGTTCGAGGTAACGCGTGGAACAACTGCGACACCGACTTCTCGTGTTCAACTGATACAAGAGTCGGAACGGGTTCCCGTTGTGAAGCGCAATAGCGCCGCGCCCGTCTTTATCTAGAAAGATAGTATGCTACAATACCGTGTAAATCCACGTACCCGGTATCAATATCAGCACCATTGATCATGACACACATCATATGTATCGGAAATAGTAGATTTAAGAGCTATTAATCGATTTTCTTCCGCGGAACGAGCACGGCTTTGGAATAATTTATTTCACGTACACGGGGTATATGGAGATGTTCCGAGAACTCGATCGCAACGGACGACGCAACGGTGCTAACCGTCGAGTGTCAACGAACGATACATCGTTCTGGGACACAGAAAACGTTCGTGGCGTAAAACTCTCGAAGTACATATTGTCTTGTAATAACGAATTAATCAACATTTGGAAATATGGATGAAAATATGGAATATTTGAAGAAGAATACGAAGTTGTTGCGTAATTTGGTAAGATTGTCCAATGTGAACGAAAGATAGCAATTTTATTTTCTTTGTGCCCAAAAGAATCCAAAGTGAATGGGGCGTGTACATGATATCATCAATGTGACGTAATATTTATCACGAAATTCAGGAAAATGACTCAAAAAGAATTTTGTGTACATCAGAAGTAAGAATAGATCATTTGAATGGAAATACCAACTTGTTCGGAAATCACTGCGTCATTTTCTATGTGTACAACTTTTATTTAAAATCTTTAGGTTATTCTCTTCACACCAAATATCATACTATATACATTGTATATATGTATAATCTAATTCATACACGAAATCCGAAGCATCAGTCAATTTTTTAATAATGTCTCGTCATTATTGACTTGCCGGGTTTCCAACAATTCAAAAGGACACGACAAGTACGTAAATGGTAACGGGTCATACGTGGGTCGCTCTGAATGTTTCCGGTTTAAAGAAAAACACTTAACTTAGATTTAAAGATTTTATTATGTTTTCTCAAAACACTCTCCACGATTATCTACACATAATTGCTTTCGATGAAAATATTTATTAAAACAATTGTTCATTTTGAGTTTTTGCGTATTTCTTCTATAAATACAGACAGGGCATCTTCGGGCGACTAAATTTTTCTTGCACTCAGTTTTTCTTCACATTTGGAAACAAAAAAAGGTAATATGGAGTAACAATATTACAAACACACTTAAACTTTGCGCTGTTAAATATATCAAACATAAAATGGGATCGATCGACTCTTGTAAGTCTATGAGACACCCAGTGCGCACAAATCTTCCTGAGACGTAAATATTCGTGCAAAATCTTTTCAACTATAGCCGATCCAATATGGCGATTCTCCACAATTACTTTTTCTGCTTTTGACCCTGTTTCGTTTGTAACGGCAGTTGCGGGGCAACCACTTCTTTCTTCGTCACTAAACCTCTTATGGCCTCTTATAAATTCTGCATACCACCAGTTTACAGTTGTTTTGGAAGGACATTTCTCGCCCAAAACATTGCACAACGTTCATAAACATTCCTGTTGTGACAAACCGCTTTTCAAGACGTAGTAGATCATAGCATGGAAATGATGACGATGAAGCTCCATGGTGACGATTAACTTTTTGTTTTTGTAATTTATGAAAATGTAGAGATGGAATCTTAAGACTCATACTCTCCCTGTATGCTAAATCAAAGCACAACTTGCTCCGATTTTTCTGTTATCTTAAACTGGAAATTCTCAGAGTGATCCACGTATTGCAAATATTTATTTTACGTCAGATAAAATCGTACATACTTGTATAGATTAGCAATAATCACATTGTCCTGTACCGGCAGATCTAACTACAATTGTACATTTAAGTTAGTTGAGTCATTCATACTTCCATTACACTCGCAAAACAATGAATTCGGTTATAATGGCAGGCTTATGTTCCCATATCACTAATCTTTATGAAAAACGGTTCCGTTGCTACCGATAGGATTCATTCGTTCGTTTCACATTCGAAATTACTTTCAAACTGAGGAACTCTGTGACCATTTGGTACGAAATCTGTCACAGTGGCACAACATTTTTGGTATGTAATTTTACAATGTACGATGCTGAATGTATTGTGAATAACTATTATAAAAAATTTGATGCGTTCAGGGAAAATAAAACTCGGAAAAGTTCATTATAGAACTAGTATAAAGTGCACATGATGGTGAATAATATGACAGAAGTAGGTATTATGAATTAAAAAATTAATTATTGGTCGTTGCTTTAGGATTGTTGGTCTACGGGCTAAGAAGATTATCATTTGTTCCAGTTTCTTTCGATGATCGCGCGGACATTATTGAATCCTTTCTTCTTTCCATCCTTTCTTGGCTGGCTCTCGTGTAACAAGTCATGCATACTATAAAGCAAACCTAAAACAATATAGGAATAATAATTTCAAATACAACTGTGTTAAATGTATCATTATAATCTCACCTGTAATAACACTGTAGACAACGCAAGTAGGAAAATATGGAGTAGGATCGATTTGATCCGATTTATTACTACATGTTGGCAACCTCTCGCGTACATTGTGGTGCAGACACCTTTGCTGTCGTGAGAACTCGCCAGTGATGTCACTATGTCGCAACAGGACCAAGGAATTGCATTCTGGTCCTGATAGTCACCAGGTCCGTTTATTCCACAACAATGCAGCTGAAAAGGAACAAACAGTGTTCAATATACGTACACTAAATAGATAAATATTTTATGTTTACCTTGCTGTGCATTTGATCCCATCGTGCCTTATCACTCGAAACAGCACGTTCGAATATTGGTTCAAGTTGAGCGACTGGTAACACGTCCACTTGTTCGTGCCGGACAAGTGCCCAAATCCCAGCGCTCGTATTGACAATCGTGATGATTATCAACGCTACAGAAAACTGAATCACACAATTACAGATATTTTTATCATGACTGGATAAGGAAGGTAACTGTACAACGGTTACAAAACAAATGTAAATTTTCATTGAGAAAATCAGGCGGAAAACCTCCATTTTGTGTTTTTTGAGTTATATATACATGGAAATAGTTTTTAATTCGAACGAACCATGTTGTTATTAGACTCATGTTTTATGGTTCATTTCTTCTTAGTAAATATAATGTTTAACGTTTTTCAAAAATCTATAAATTATTACATTTACATTTTTATAAACAGAAATGAAATATCCCAAGAATTTGTTTTTTTTCGAGTCTCCAGAGGTGAAAGGGCATTCGTTTATTGGTATTTACTTATTCTACAATCTATGATATTGAAGACCACGATTCATTGGACAGTATTGGACATAATCGAGTAAATCATCGAAGGGTTGAATTAGGAATCTGTAACGACGTGTTTTCTTACAATTACGACTTGTCCTCTGTTCGTGAAATCCAAGAATTGCCAGGCACACCATGCTATCAGGCCTGTTATCAGGCCCATCACTAATAGGATTATCGACGAGCCGCACACATTGCTAGGGGTGAGCAACGAATACTCGTATAGCTGATATATGAAATAACCGGCGCAGACGGTCTCTATGATACCGCATACCTGCGAAAATGGTAAAGAAAATTCCGTGTCATTTTTTACAGAAACAGTATACACCCCTATGATAACGAAGGCTAACACGTCTGATAAGCGACGATTAATTGTTTATCTAATCTGTGCATTGTTTGCACAGAGCGAAGCTGAAAATGTCGAAAGACGATTTCTATTTCGCTATTACCGCGCGTATTTACAATTAGAAAATTCAATCGTGAGCACGCTTCCTTTACCACCGTGCAGCATTTTCCATATCATTTTGCTCTTTCGTGAATGTAATTTCGTTCGTGACACACATCGATAGTATTTCTACGGTGACATTGATATTTATTAAGTTTGTATATTGTTACACTCTACTTGGAATTTACACGTTTTCTAAATGTTTTACAAATGAATATTTCCGAAGATTTATAAATCGAGGTAATTAATTCAGTATTAATCCAATACGTTTGCCACCGCAATTTTGTTTGGAAATCGTTGATTACGAATTACACTAGACTTTCTATATTCCCTTCGGTGCAGTGTGTGTAGGTACCTTCTTAGGCATTGAAATAACTAAGGAAAGTGATAATAAATAATATTCCAGGATATAAATATAGTATCCATCTGGTTTTGTAGTGTATACTCTAAATTTAAATTGTTACACATATGTGACAGCGGAAGCTCATAAAAAGACATCTGACGCTAGTGGCGAACGTGTTAGCAAATAAATTACGGACTGTGATTGAATTAATCGGATATTACATATATTTGAGTCACATTAACGTTGAGTTGTATTGGGCCACACGTATCGATATCACGATATGTTCAGATTCAATATGTGATATCAATATAAAAGGCACACGATCGATAACAGACTTATCTACGCCAGCAGAGTTTTTACTTAATCGTTGTTACAATCTACTCTAATCAATTACATTTCTACAAACGAATTGTTAAAGTGAGAAATTCAATAGAAATTAACATATTTTATTAAGGATTTTGTTAAATTACAAATGTAATAGAAACTTTATGAAATTTTTCATTTTATTGCTTATTTTTCATTAAAATATTTTATCACTTAGTATATGTTTGCTTACGTAACATGTCCACAGGCTATCACCTATTTACTTTTAGTGAAAAATTTTTAACGACTACGTTAATCGACCGTATGGATGAAATACGCAATCTTCACAGATATATAAACCTATTATTGTAACGAATTAAAACATTGTATTAAAGAAAAGATCAAATTATGATTAAAATTAGTAATGCAGAAAGAAGGCATGAAAAGCAATTTAAACGCTGGAACACTGTGGTTTTAAAAGAACAACGCTGTAGGTTGGCGGGTGTCCAATTTCGCGACAAACGAGAAACTGGTCACCGAGTAGCTACGCTCTTAATAATAGAACAACGTCGAAGTACCGAACCAAAGAAAAAGCATAATGTTTTTTGTAATTCCATCGATTGAAACAACATGAATTTCTGTCACTTGAATATCCCAGAAGCAACGATTCGTTGTATGCAAACACTTAAATACTACCATACGCAGTAAATATACACTTACGCCGATGACGATGGCACCACCGATGAGAAAGTACCGCAAACAGACGAGCGTCCGTGCCATCACAAATTTGTGAATAAAGTTTTCACTAGTTGAGCATGTGCAGGGGGTACAAGTATACACGAACGAAAGAAAAGCGTGAGATGCCACGATCAAGCAGCCGTCACCACGGTGACCAGGCGCAAACCTCGTACTCGAACCGTCATTCCGTCTAGCACTCACAATAAGCAATAAAAGGCAGCCGGCTGCTTCGTATTTCCCTTATCGACGAACCTTCTTCGTCTTTGTATTAAATCCTTGGCATTTATTTTACACCACGATTCTGGTGTCCTAGTTTGTTCTTCATTTTTGTATCGTCCTTTGTTTCACGTCGATTCGACATATCGATCGTGCCGCTAGCGCGCTTTACTTGGATGATCGCTACGGAACTATTTGAAGCAACAACGACCGAAGAAGCAGGTGTTGCATTTCGTTCTCCATGAATCACATGTCACATATGGAAACGATGGTTTTGTTATTGTCATCAATACTTTATGTTATTGTTGCTGTGTGATTTAAGAAATTATCTAGTACGATAATGTAAAACAAACTCAAAAGTTTGGTATGAGAAAAAGGATTACGAACCACGTTGTCAGTAAGTACGTTTCGACTATGTTATCGACAGAGCAAATGATTACAGTAGAAACTCGATCATTGCAGGCTATATTATTGTAGATAGGAACACCTCTTAATCACACGTATTTTTCACACGTGTGCACACACCCTACTCTGTCGCCCAGCAAGGAAGGAAGGCAATACATACAGTATCGCGTTTTACTTACATATTTCTCATTGCAAAAAGTTCGGTATATATCATAGTATTTTAATGAAATGTTTTAATGTTAAATAACTTTTGTGAATAAACTTTTTTAATATTTCTAAAAGTAACGGAGATTGTTGAGGTGATCAGAAAGTGTATACATCCAGCCCACGTTCTATATTACATGAAACTAGGATTATTTTAGAAATCGATATGCGATTCAAAGTGTAAAAATGTCTAGTACTTTGAATGTTTTAGAAAATTATTCGAGATAAAGATGTATGGAACTACTGAAAATTACTTTAGATTCCTTTTCCTTATTCTGTAAATTCTTTGATTGGAATATGACTGTTGCTCGAAGTATGAATATTTTCACAGGACAATGATATAAATGGAACTGTAAAACTTTTTTAAGTGTTACAGCGATATTTCGTTGGCCTCCGTATTAGCGCACTGCGCCGAATGCGGATAGTATTATATTGTAGTCGCAAGGGAGCAATTGAATCGAATAGACGTATTGACCGTAGCGCATCGTATTGTATTTCAAACTTTTATATCATTATAATTTATATGTTTATATGTATATTCCAATAAACATACGTCATGTAATATAAGCTTCATTTCATCGAATTGTCTTAAATATAACTGCATAAATATTGTACAATCCTATACAAATTATAGTTGCCTGGTTCAACAGGTTACTACAGAAACTAACTACTGCCTAAGTCTTTCAAACTTGGGCTGTAGTAGTATCTGCAGAAACTGCCATGGTTGCTGGGGTTATTGTCTAATTTGTTCAGGGGTACACGGACAAGCGTCAGTCCCAATTCGACAGTTGCACGAGCAACATTCCATCGAGCTAGAGAGTTATACGAGCAACAGCGATAAAGGGTCACGTTTCAAAACTCTTACACATACCCCGGGGGTTCTATGACCACACTGTCTCACCACACGGGGTCTCCGGCGTCTCCACCGGGGCTTCTATGACCCCACGCCTCAACGCACGAACTCTCTAACGTCCACCTGTGGGGGTTCTGTGACCCCACGTTTACACTAGACAGGGTCTCTGGCGCCTCCACCGGGGGTTCTATGACCCCGTGATCTCACCACACGGGGTCTCTGACTTACTACAAAAACTAACTACCGCCTACGTCTTTTAAACTTGGGCTGAGTAGTATCTGCAGAAACTACTCAGCCCAAGTTTAAAAGACGTAGGCAGTAGTTAGTTTCTGTAGTAACCTGTTGAAGTTCCTACTAGGAAACTTCAAGTTGAAGCCCTCTAGTGGTATGTTCTGTTGGTGTCGCTACTGTCAATGAAAAGAAGAAGCGTTAAAAAACATTTTTCTGATTCACGCGATACATTTGTGTCATCGTATCTAACCTTCGCGAAAACCGTACATGGTGGTGGTTGGTGGTGGTCATAGAAGATAAACCAAACTTTTGGCAGGCGTAATCGTACAGGAAAAATGGCAAGATGTCTCTATCTTGGATACCTTTTCATATTTGTTGTCGTAAACCTAGGTAAGACATAAAATCGAGAAACTCCCATTTTAATAATGAAGTATATAAATTTTAATACAAGCCTCCTGATCATTAGTGCATTTTATTCTTTGTCACGATTTTTGGAGCTCTTAATTTTATTTACAGTATAAATGTTAGAAATTTGTATGAGAACAAGTTTTAGTCATCATTTATTTATCAAAGCCTTTTATCAGACACTCAGTTGTTTGTTACATAAATACTGTGATTAGAAGGCTATATAATTAGATTTGAAACTGTTTTTAGTGGTTGCCGAGAGAATAAAAGATATGATCTATGTGTCATTTGAAGGAGTTGCCGCCTGCTTCCGTAGACACAATGGAACACATCAGTTTGGTTGTTCTTGTAAGATTATATATTTTACTGTTATTAATCTTAAGACGAATATTTCGAGAATGAATAATAATATCGTTTTTTATAAAGTTATTATTTAAGATGTCAAAAATTTCAATAATAAACAAAAAATATGCTATTCTATAAAATAAATAATTAAAATAATATTTAATGTTAGCAAAGTATTTAATATGAATTGTGTGTTTTGGTTGTAGCAAGTAGGTCAGGAAGCATTGGTGTTATTCATTTAATTGAAGATGAAAGTGATGTCAGATGGGTCGAACATAATGCTACAGCTGGACCCTATACAGTAGTCCTTCCATTTTCTATGTTCACTAATGACACATTAGTCAGATTATGGAATACTAACAACATAAATGGAGTTCTATTAGCAAAAAATATCAGTCAGCCACTTCCTAATTCTTATTCTCCAGAGGATACTTGTCCAAATAGGTATTCAGGATACAAGAAATGCGATGTAACTTCTCCTTGGAATCCATTTGGTTCCTCTTTACTTATGAAAGATTGGCCCTTCCCTATGTTTTATATAGAGGTCAGAAACATAAATTTTGTACTTTGTAGCACATTGAGTTACTTCTTTAGCTATTTTGTATCTATTATGCACAGCTGAAATTTGTTGATTTCACTTTCAGAATCAAACACTGATTGAACAAATAAAGTCTTGTTACTGGAAATATAATGCGCACGATCTGGAAACTCAGCAATACAGATCACTGTGCGCGCTAGAAATGAAGTCATTTATGTTTGCTGCTATCAATTCAGAATTTTGCATCAAACGTAGCGATTTGAAGTTACACTTCCATCCAACACAGTTATGTGATCCTTTGGGAGACAGAAATATACATTGGCCTTTGGCTCCACTACATGAAGATGAAAATTCCATTATAATGGTGACAGCTAGATTAGATGCGTCTTCTTTATTTGATGGTATATCACCTGGAGCGGGTAATATAGTGACAGGTTTGGTAACACTACTTGCCACTGCCTATTACTTGAATAACATATTTAAAAATGTTACAGTAGCAGATAGTAAGTATGGCAGTACATAAAGTATGATGTTATTCTGAATCTACAACTATCCTATAATTATTGTCTACCTTTTTATTTCGTTTTCAGAAACGAATGTTGTTTTCACGTTATTAAACGGCGAAGCATTTGACTACATCGGCTCCAGTAGACTAATTTATGATTTGAAAGAAGGTAATTTCAATGCTTTAGGCGGTGTAAACTTAAAGTTTGATGACATTAAATCTGTCATTGAATTTGGTCAGTTGAACAAAGGAAACATGTATCTTCATTCTAATAATGGAAGAAACAATGCGATGATAAACAAACTCCGGATAGCATTAAACGCAACAATTCTGGAAGATAGTGTTCCACCTACATCGATACAAAGCTTCTTGAAAGCGAAACCGGATTTAACGGCAGTAGTTATAAGTAACCATGAAAAACAATTTGAAAATAGATATTACAATGGCATCTTGGATGATGCTCAAAGTCTTCATTTCAACAGGTATCTCTTAAAATTTTACTTTTCATTACGAAATAAATTTAGTGGTAGGTAATATAGTAAAGTATATTTTTTACAGAAACGAGTCAAATGATCTTGTAGCCGCTTTATCAAGTGTAGCAACTCACGTTGCTGAGGTTCTTTATGAAACTGTTACCGGTAAATTGCCCCCACCTATAGATGAATCCACTCAATTAGATATTGAAGATCATATTTCCGAAATGTTAGTTTGCTATCTGGAAAGCGCCAAGTGCAATTTGTTCCAAGCTGCCTCACCTCCGGGTGCTAAGCTAATTAATCAAGTTCTCCCACTGTATGTCGGTGTACACAGAGTATTAAACACTGCCACGACCTTAACCGGTCAGCTTCTTGCTTTCTTAACGAGAAAGGAATTGGATTTGAATGAAACTGCATGCTATGAAAAACATCTTGTTTGGATGGCTGGTGTTAATTACACTGGCATATGCATTAATTCCACTGTGAATTACAGTATAGCTACGAGTCCAGCGTTTATTATTGTTGGTAAGTTCTTCATTCTTCTATCAACATTAACATGGTGTTCTGAAAGAAATTTTCAATCCATGAAAATATACTTTCATTCCATCAAATGTTATGTTCAGCACAGTCTAGAAATTTTCTGTCTTATTGGTGAACACTTTATCATATTATTTATATGTAAGATGTATGCAATAGTAATGGCCCATTTTTAACCGGATATCTTTATTAATAATCTTTATTTTCTATATATTTTTGACATTTTTTTTGACAAAACATAGAATTCTCTGTTGACAAAATAAAATAAATCCACAATGTAAATTTCAATACGACGACCATTACTTTTGCATACACGAAATACTAATTGTAAGTAATTTAAAGTGAACAAAGTCACTATTCTTAACATTTTTAATTAGGATACGATATGAAGTCTGGAACATATTCCACGTGGACAGAGTCTATATGGCAAACGTTGAGTGTAAGAATGTTCCTGAAGCCTTCAGATGGTACAGAGCAGTTCAGCATTTATCTAGGCTGCTCTGTGGCTGGCGTATCGTTCATTATCGTATGGTTCATTAAATCTCGAGCCGATATACTATTTAATACGAGGTATAATGATAACATAACAATAGATAAACCGTACAGACATTTTAGTATTCGGTGAATACATGACAGAATTGTTTTAGGAGGGCAGCAAATTGGTAGGAACACGCTGCGGACCACATATCAATGACCAGGTTGGATTATCTCAAGGATAAAGATGTTCCAGTAACAAGCCTTTAAATGGATGTGTGGTACGCACTCGGACAATTTTTGTACGTGAAACACTGAAGCATATATTGATACCACCGTCGTTTTATTCTTTTATTTTCGCGAAGTTTGCGATGGCTATTTAATCAAACTATTGCACATTGCTGTTAGTATCTCAAGAACGATCTCGTCCGTTCGCTTTATCTTTGACGTTCCTTTCTTTCTCTAATTCCATTGCAAATTAGATATTGGAGTGCAGTTTTTATAAATGTGCGTTATGTGTATTTGATGAATGATGATACGTAGAATTTTTTTGTAATTCCACGGAAAATCGATACTTAAAGAGTATTACACCTGTACCAGAATGATAAACAGGGTATATTATCACGAAAAATATCTATTGAATCTTTGCATTCGTTAAAATAATTGTCTACGTAGAAATGCACATACGTATTTTACTTATACGCGTAATATAAATTGTACATGTGATGATTGCGGTACAAATAATTAATGCAGCTCTTTGAACGATTATTTAATTCCATTTCATTCATCACTTCACAAATATTAGTATTATAAATATTATGCAATATATTTGGTTATGTATTTAAGCAAACTTTCAACAGTTCAAGAGATCTGTTGACAGACGTCTAATAGTTAATATTTTTAGCAATCAGCTTTGTATTTCTCTATTTATTGCAATTGATCTTTGTATCATGAATTAGTTAATTGATGTAGTGGCAGGATATTTAATTCGTTGAGGAAATCCTTGCTCATGGATATTCAGACCTAGATAGTTTAATTGTATGGAATAGTTAAGCAATGGAGATAATGTTGTAATATATGTAATCTAAGAAAAGTTTCGTCATTCGTTATAAAATTGTATGGAAGAAAAGGAATAAGTCCATTACCAGAAATTAATCTAATTTGTACGATTCATTAGTGTATGTTCTTGATAAGTTTTTTCATTTTCTTCTTGCGTTTTAAATATTGAATCTTTAATCATTATTTAAGAATTGTAAGGTTGATGTAGAAAGTCGATACGGTAAAAAGGGAAGTGAAAAAACTTTAAAATATTTTATGAAGAATTAAACGAAATTATAGAATAACGCTAGGAAATATATATTTGTATCTGTAACCATTTGAACGCATTTTATAAATGTAATGTAAATACGTTGTGAGAAAGATACTATTTCTGAATTTTTTGATTCTTGATTACAATGTAGCATTTTTTATAAAAATTACCTGTGATTACTTGCGATTTCATACTTTTTTATGATATATAAGTATGCGATATGCGATGTAATTTACTGGTGTTTTGTCAAATATACGAATTACGTGTCCTCATTATTGATAATAAAGCATTTTATATGGTAAATTGGACGTTTGAATTTCATAAAATCTGCCTAGTGACCTACTTTACGCTTCTATGAGTTTTTTTCAGGTAAAAAACTACGTATTCCATTATTTAATTAAATTAGATTTGATGTCTGTAATTTAGAGTATACATATACGCAAAGATGAAGTGGTATCTTAAGGATGGAATAAGAGTCAGAAAAACATATTGCAAGCGTGATGGCATTTATTATCAATAAACAACTTATTTAACAGGACCTTGATGTACACGAGAAAGAACTATTCAAGTTGTTTACTTATGCTTCCTTTTTAGTATGTACGTAAGTATGCAATACGTTTAGTTTACGACTTAAAATTTCACTTAAGTTAGGAATGGACCTTCGAAAGTCCGTTAATTTTATATTAAAATTTACACGTGTACACGTGCATGTTTGCATTATCAAATAGTACAAATATCTGTCAATATAGATACATATGTGAACATTTTTGGAGCAGTATAGAATAAATTGATTTCTTGGCAAGATAGAATACATATTACCATACATGGAACGTAACATGCATGTTACAAACTTCTATAGAATTCACGAATATTAGAATAATATCGATGAAACAAGAAAATTTCATAAATTATTGAAAAATAATGGTAAATAGAACATGACACGAACGCTGACTGCGTATAACAAAAGAAAGACAAAACGGAACATAAAGTTTGTGCAAGTCATTTGGCGAATATAAAATAAAAATAGGCAGTTTTAATAAAACTGTATTCTTTTTACTTTACGATAGGAGAAATAATAAAACTTGGTTAACTCGTTATGAATTGTTTAAAAACACCGTGTGTGCATGGAACGTATACCCAATTCTCACGTGAATTACTACAAAAGTTTGTCATAATATACTCACTTAAATTACAATACCGTAATAATGAGTGAACAGTATAACGCGAAGAATAATGTGAAACCATAAAACAACATTTGTATTTCAGCGTCATTACTCCTAAAACTCTGTGGGATTATCAAAGCAATAACTCAACAAATTCAGATACTGCCTCATTTTTTGGTCCATTCCTATCTTCTTAAATATTTTCGATAGAGCTTGCACGTAAATCGCTAATACCTATTAGCATTAGAGATTTTATCTGGAGGTCCATTATCAAACATGTACTCGCGTGCACCTGAATGAACGAAAATGTTCATTCGTCTGACTTTGTTTTTATTTACTTTTTTTAAATTGAAAATAAGTAACCATGGTACTAAGAAATATCTATTAAACGGAATAACGAAAAAAAATGCTTGTTTCCATGTTACATTACTTTGCCAGTAGAAATGTTGCCACTATATTCTCTATTTTATATGTAACAACTTCTAAGACTCTGATTACTTATCTCTGATGCAATAACAAAAAAAAACACAGATTACTGATACATCAATGTAGTAGACGTAAATACAGTATTATAATTCAGTTATTTTATCTACTTGCATTGAGAAGGTCGCAGACATTTTTTAAAAACCCGAACAGAGTAACAAAACGTGCACGTAATATGTTTTCAAGTTTCCTCATGGGACAAGCAAATTTTTAGGTCACATTTGAATATCAGTATCTTTCTTTCTCTTAGATATACCAGATTACTTTTGAACCAATCATATCCGATTTGAATAATTAATATTCAAGTAGAATTTTGAGAGTATGTGCACAGACAATGTTACATGTAAGGAGTCTATGGACCCACTAGCAGTTTTTTTTTAATGCAAGCTCTACAAACATACGTTCAACCTCTTAGGTAAATGTTTCTACACATGTATGTGTAAGTGTGTACAAGTGAGCGTCTGTGTATCTCTCTCGTTCTTTCTCCTCCCACCCACCCCCCCTCTTTGTGTGTGTTTTAAGTGTGGTGTGAATTTAAGTATTGTATAGTTTTCAGTATACAAGTATGAAGTAGGAGGCTGGGCACCGCCCACCGAGTTATCACAGTCGTCTGGTGCCGCAGCACATACGTATACGTGGTTCAGCCTTACAACCTACCTCTTAATCTATCGTTATTTCATAATTATAATTAGTCAAAGTACAGTATAGTCCCGTACTAGGTGATTCGCGATACGAGCCGACGATTCTCTTAGTCCTATATCATTTACGGAAAGTGCGCATTATTGCTGGTACTTGTAAACGGCGACCTAATCATCAGCACGAGCGATCGAGGACCAGTTTCCATTGCGAGCTGCTCGGGACAAAAAAATAAAAAAAAAAAAAAAAAAAAAAAAAAAAAAAAAAAATAAACAAAATAGAACGATGCAGAAAATGACGTTAAATAACGAGAGTAGACTTGCTGTCACTGTACACCCAAATCGACACGGTGTTTTACACGGTTTTATTCTCATTCTCGCTTCGTTAATTGCCCGTTCGTCCGCGATCGTTCGACTTTTTTCGCTTACGTCACTACACCGTATATGGAGCTATACTGTAAAAGCTGTCTTCAACTGATATTATCGTTTTACCAAGCCTCTCGATCGACTCGTTTCTTTCGTCCCGAGGCTTCCTTAAAAGTTTTGCGACCAGCAACGGATTTTGAAACAGGTTCGTTTGGGTTGCCCGGAAAAAAAGCTCGTGGGAGCCACTAATGGAAGCACTTTGTGCCAGTCGGCTATGTACATCGACACCGGAAGTATGCAGGACACCAGTAAAGTGGCTGACCTAATCGACGGCTTTGACCTTTTAGTTTTCTTTTTTTCTTTTTTTGTACGAGACATTCTTGTCTGAGCGCATCGAGGATCGGGCGGCGCATGATTCGGATTCTTTATTAATACGCTTGTCCTCTATTGCTGCATATCTATGACTTAATTTCATCAGTCGATGGCGTTCAGCTAAGTGCTAAGTTGGCCGTCCTCAATGCGTTGAAATCAGTGGACTAGCTTCGGTCTATTTAGCCATCTATATAAAAGAACCTCCATTATCTAACGGACTTTCCTTTCCTTAATAAAGATATTTAATCACTCTTTGCATTGTTAAACAATCATAACCTAATTATATCGTTGAATATGTTTTGGTTCATATTTACTTATACTACATGTAGATTCTGGATGTTCATGCAAACTAAAATTTTTGTGCTGCAATTTAAATTGTTAATAAAACATGTATTGGACAATATATATCATTCTAACTTATTACATTCTGCATATTGGCATATATGCTACGCATGTATAAAATCCGTAGTCTACAGAAAACACACAAAAATGTTGTGTCCACCTGTTAGCTCTGATAATGGAGGTTCTACCATCGTCGCAAGTTATATCTTCCTTAACAGTTTCGTGGAATCCATACAGAGAAATCGTGAGAGTGCTGTATACTATGAATCACTGACACCAACGTGCTTAATGAAACCTATGTATATCTCGTTGCAAAGTAAACACACTTACGTTCGCATAACGATAGCTCGAAACTTTTTTCGAATTTTACGCTTCAGTAATAACACTTTCTATTGTTGCTATAGTTTATAAAATCTGTAATGTCTTTTTAATTTTCAGTTCTACAACGCGCGATAGTTGATCAGCGAAGCGTCAGAAATTCGAGAAATTTCGAGTTCGCCGTTAGAAACAAGGTGATCGCACCGGAATAAATTGATCTCGGCAAGTTACTAGATTACGCTCATTCGATTATCGATCTCGGAAACGTTTGTCCCTTTAGAATCGCAGTTCCAAGTCAGTCAACGATCTTAGGATAGGTTTCAGCGGTTCGAAGTGCGATGGACGGAACGCTTGGAAACAAGGACAATCGAAGACAAGTACATAGGAAGAACTTTTATACGTTATATCTACACGGATGGTCGTCGGAATTTGAAAATGATGTCGATGTCGAATCTGAGAACATACAACGCATCCGTTAACGATTCACAAAGTGAAAAAGTACACAGGTTGCTAGGTATTCAGCACTCGCGATCTGGTGATTATTTTTCCATTTCAGTAAAACGCAACGATCATATGCAGACAGCGAATGTATGAACACTTAATCTTAAGATGGCATGTGCTTGTCGTCGGGCCTTGACATTTTCTTTCTTTCGTTTCTTCTTTATTCTTTTTCCCTTGTTTTTTTTTTTGCTGTTGTTAAAACTCGAGTTCGTTTTCAGTTACAAGAAAAAAGGTATATCGTTAATCTGTTTCGGATTAATCACTAATATTTTTCTCCCTTTATTTCTAACAGTTCTGTGTATTGTTATGTACAGCAGTACCACAACCTCATTAAAACTGCGGTACACGCGTTCAAAGACGACACTTAGAGTTTAAAAATATAATCATCATATATTTAAAGTAGTATTATATTATCATTGTTGTGGTTGTTATTAATCGTAATAGTATTATTAATATTTAATTATTATTATTGTTATTATTTATTATCTTGGAGGGATAGCACTTTGCTATGTCACGACACTGCAGAGCTGAACAAAGACTAAACGCGGAAGTTACCACGCTCTTTAATGGCACGAAGAATACAAGATCGAGACTGCTATTTTATCTACTGACCGATCGATCGTCCGTTGCACGTGAACCTTTCGACGAAATTTTATGTGAAACGTTTTCCGATAAGTTAACATTTTTCCCCCTTTTTCTTCTTCTGTTGTTGACCGATCGTTAACATATCTCGTCTATAACGTTAAGTGTAGTATAATACCGCGGTAGCTTACTTTTAATTAGAAAGGATTGAGACCGACCTTCCACTCGGCGTCGTTACGAGATTTCCTATACTATACATAGTCTCACTTGGACGATTTCAAGAGTACTATAGAAATACTAAGAATTTCTTACAGACGCATTACTTAGTTAGAATTATTTAGTAATTGTCAGTTAAGCAAGATTTCGTGAACTAAACAAGTTAATCTTTGTTTTTTAATTTAAATACTGTATGCTTTGTGCTTCAAATTCCTCATGCTTGCTCCGATCTCTTACGCTTTGATATCAGAGAATTCACAAATGTGCTATGAAGTGAATAATTTTTTAATCGGATATTCAAACCGCATTTATCAAATTCAGAATATCGTGAATTATCGTGTACTGTTTTTTTCCTGTGTTTATAGAAAATTTACTTTATCTGAAATAAAGCTCGATATAAAAATATACAAACAGCAGTATCAACCTGTTTTAATCTCTTAAGTATAACTTGTCGAATGCAAACAAGTAGAATGTTATTTCACAAATTGCATCGTAGGAAGGATTCGCGGATAACATTGAATATTGATTTTTATGAAGTTTTCGTGCGAATATTCAAGTCTTGAACTGTTTAAAAAATAATGTTTTTTTTTAATTAGTATCAATTACAAACAGAGCGATGTGTGTGCATAACATGGCTTATTAAGATAACATGAGATCTTCCGAAATGTTTCACGCTACATTCGTAACGCCTTCATTACACTGAACTATGTGGAAATCAATCATTCTTAATTATGAGAAAATGAAGAACGAAAAGAAATGAAAAAAAAAAAATCTAAATGAAGAAAATATTTCAACCGTATCGTATACATCAACAAATTAACAAAACTGCTGAAAGGGTAACAATTTCGAAAGGTAACCTCTCTTTTGCCATAAATACGTTTCTAACAAAACGGGATGGCCAGACATGTGCAGCCCCTCAAATTACTCTTACGAAGAACAGGGAAACAGGTGTATCAGCGTCATCTAATATCTGCTCAATTTCAATTTTCTCGGACCACGGAAAATACGTAAAACAATACGATTGATAACCGTCAGAAATATCTGTGAGTCGAACGGTGATAAAAGGAGACCGAATATGTTGGATCCGATAAGAGAGCGTGATAACCTCAATCGATATACCCTTGATTTTCGCGAGAATAATTACGTATTTGACAGTTAAAGCGAAATCTATTCTCGAATACCTTAATACTGTAATGAGCAACTGGATTTGAAGGTACCGTAAAGAGGTTGACGTTTCAGTGATCGACAGAGGTCAGTGAAGATCATCTTCGTCGCTATCGTTACCGTCTTTCGATCTATCGGCACCCCCCTCACCGTCGCTGGAGCCTGAATCGCTCCCAGAGTCTTCAGATTGCCAGCCGCCGGCTTGTTGTTGCTGCACGTGTTGCTGTTGGACAACGTGCTTCGAGACCTTGTGACGTTTACCCGCGCGTTGCACCGGGTCCGCCCCGGCACCGTCTAGCATCGGCTGAAGGATTCGCCGACGAGCATTGATGAACCAATTGTTCACTTGCAACAACGTTAAGTTCGTTTGACTTGCGATCTGACGCTTTTCATCCTCCGTTGGATAAGGATGCTGCAAAATATTATACCATTCTTTTATCATATGTTCAGTCGAAAGCAGCTATATAGGCATCGCTAAGTCAAGAGGAGTATCTCTACTAATATGTAAACAACGCCAGACTGTGATCTGATATCAGGAGTCTGGAATGTTTGATCCCAGTGACTCAAGGTTCTATTATAGGTCTAAAAAGAAGTCTTTTCAGAAAACTGGCACCGGCAAGAGTGTATCTGCAAAGACTTCTAATACTATCGAAACAGCATTTTCTGATAAATTTATGCGAACTGAAACAACTCAATACTGTGAAACCGGTGTAAACCTATAAAAACCTGAACTACAGGAACCACAAACATCTTGAATACTGTTGAATAAAGAAATTCTGTTAATTAAAATGGAAGGAATCTCGTGATTAATAGCAACCATGTAGAGGTAGAAAGTAGAATGAAATGTATACGTACAACTAAATGTTCAAAGAGCCAGGTTCGCATAATGCTTGTAGCCTGCTTAGGTAAGACTCCCCTCTTCTGTCTTCCTTTCTTAATGCTACTATGACTACCTCCATGGCTAGTACTATGATTTGAAGTAACAGTGCCAGTGCCACATCCTTCATCTTCATCTTCACTGGGTGCAGGAGAAGGAGACCCCGCAACAGTGATATCTAAACACATTACATAAGATATATTTGCTAGGATAAATGTGACTCAATACATTTTACAGAGACTTCTGATTCAATTCTATCTTGTAAAATATACATTTGAAGTTTGAATTTAAATTTATCATTCTATACTTATATCTACGTTTTAGTTGGTTCATTTTTAATTGTCTTTTCAATTAGAAATTCCTTAATACTCAAATACTACTATGAAAATTCACACAATGAACAACTTTTTCTAACCAAAGTACTTTTCGTCGTTAGCATCTCCCACATCGATGTATTCATTCTCACGTTCTTGTAATGCCAGAAGGCCCCAAAAACCGGCTTCTTCTAAATATATTCTGTCGCCAGTATTCACACAGTCCATATCATCTATAAATGCCAGTTCTTGGATATATTATTTATACGAACGCTCTTTCAATACACGACTACTATTACAACTAGATTGTTTAGAACATTTTACTTTAAATTATTCGTTAAACCCTCAAATGGCAAGAAATGATTATGATCAATATAAGCCTGACCAAGAATGGTAATAATTATATAAAAGCTAGTCGATTATTGTGTATATTCAATAAAAATATTTTCTTTCGACTGTACAGTTCAGGCAATTTATTAACACCACTATATTCCTCTAAATACATTTATCGACTTTAAACTGACGGTAGTTACAAACCCAATTATAAGAGAACAATCATAGTCTTGGGCCATGTTGACCTCGTCTTACCAATTGAGGGTCAAGATCCATCACATACAATAATGCAGATAAAAAGCCATGAGTGAAAATTTTGTACTTACTCATCATAAATCTCAAATGAAAGTCAATCGTTAATAAGAATCGAAAAAAAAAAAAAAAGATATACACGTAGGGAGCTCACCTTGACCAAGATACATATCGTTGACCGGTGCACAGGGATGAGCCCCGATTTGCGAAAGGGGCGTGCTCCCGTGTACTGTGGAAGGTGACAGAGGATCGTCATGCTCCTGGCTGGAGGATCTGTTCGAGCGCTGAGCTGTGGAAGATGATCGCACCGATGGCGGCCTGTCGTTACCGGTTTCCTCTTGCGCGGCAACTTGACTCGCGCCACCGTTTTCCGACAGGGTGTCGCCTCTGCTCACTCTGAATCCGTTAGCTCCCGGCTCAACATCATTGCCTGTAGAAGACAGCACCTGGGAAATATATGTCGCAACTAACCGTCAGAGAGCAGGGGTGGGGTTCTATAATATTTTGAGCGACGCGCAAGTATCGCTCGTTCTTTAACCTATACACACCCGAAACTATGCCCCGAACAATTCTTCCAGAAGTGGATCCCTAAACGTACTATGAATCCTCTAGATGTGAATTTTTTCAATATACTTCGTCACACTTTTATCAAACGAGTACAGTAGTCTTTTTTGTATCTGATACCATTACCTAGCAAGAAGAGGATTACAATGTAACTACCAATGTCAATATTGTTTTCGAAACATAGGTATTTAAAAAGCACGGAGTACCGTTCACACAGAGTTTAAAGAGATCGTCACATGATCTTTAGTAATAGATACATATCTCAAGAAAGAATTTAGCTAGTAAATTTACCCTTTGGTACAAACAATGTTTAAGGAATAAAACTTCTGTACCTGATTTACTTTTCAACATACTCGACTTCAAGATATTTACTTTGGCAATCTGTACATTCTAAAAAGGGGATGTTTCTCGAACACCTTGAAAGCTTCAACGACCCGTTAAAAAGCCATATTTCCACTTCTGGTTCTCTGTTCATAAGAGTATTTTACAGTACATGCGGTTAGTTTTAAAGCCTAGGAGAATTTTGACTGGATGTTATTCTACTGACTACTAATTGTACAATGTATGAATTTAAAGGCAGTATTATAATTTCAACTAGGGCTGCATAAAGGCAACCACTTTCCTCACAGGGAATTCCAAAACTGCGGAATTATTCGTGTAATATATAGAAATACTGAAGTATACGTGAACTACTAATTATTTTACTGGTATGACACAGCTTCTTCGCAAGCGATACTGTTAAAGGCTGCGAGGGTTTAGTAGAGGGTGGGGGGGTTAAGAGAACTCGTAGCGTTTCAAGAGACACTCACGATCCTTGCGCATCACTAACAAAAGGATATCTACGTAGGTGAGGGGGAGCCAGGTGAGGATGCCTTAAAATAAAAATTATATCTAACCTGCAAAGGACTGCTGCCATTGCTGCCACTCGATGGACCCATATCGTGTCCATGGTGACTGTAATCGCTGCGTAGCAGATTTTCGCTCTGCATCTTGCCCTTCAGGCACGTGATGTACCTGTTGCAGAAGTCCTTGCACAGCTCCTGAACCTTTTCCAACTCGAGTAGGTGAATTCGCAGCACCTGTATCGCCTTGATCATCTACGATGGACAGATCGCAGCATTAGAAGAAAAACAAAAAGCAACGTCGCGGGCTGATCGATTTTCTTTTCACGTTCAATTTCGAGCCGTCGTTTATTATTTTTTGTTTTCACGACGCGAACACTGTTATTGTTTCATGAACCAGCAACCGAGGAGACACCGGTTGTTTAATTGCGTTCCCTTTAATTCAAGGTACGAGAGTACCGAGATACCTTTTTAATTATTTTTCGCTCTATTTACACAGTTCTCATTCTTGGTTGTTGAATTACGTTCATTTTAATCAATAAACCTATATTTTTATAATCCTCGGAAGGCGAACGGTACAAGTCTGACACGTTATACGAATGCAGAGTTGGTTTGACCTACAATAATAATTTCATTACACACAGCTTTGTGGGAACACAAACTCTTGAATTCTTTCACGTTTGTTATGTAAAATGTAATAACAAGAAAATAATAAAATAAACTTCATGACTTCACTCTTTTGACTGAGCACTGTGTGCTTCTTTAACAAGGATACGGTTAATAGCTGTTACGTTTGGTTCCAATCGACCCTGACCGTTCGTCAACCGAGGGTTAAACGCACACACCATTTTGTATACAAAAAATACATATTTGTTTTTACTGAAAATTAAAGTATACGTTATTAAGTGCGCATGTGTTTTGGAAACATGCTGGATTTGAAAACAGTTAAAGCTGCGGTAATTAAAGACAAGTCGGTAGATGAGGATTTCCAGGACATCTTATGGTCACCCTTTCTCGAGTAACTCCAATTCGTATTCCATTTTCGATTCAAAGTATTGACTACTCGTTTCGGGTCAGGCAATTTCGCTCTGTTGCCTGCGCAAAGAACTCACCAAACCGTCAATTTCGGGGTCATTGATCAGGAACGGCTTTCGGTCTCTTTCTTGGTGTTGGACGAAGGCCTGTATGTCCATGTTGAAGCTCTCGGACGTCGAGTTGTCCGAGCTCTGTGTGGCTTGTTCGCATCTTTCGAAGAGTAACGCGAGCAGCGGGAAGAGGGGATGCTTGTAGACTGCCCTCTTGTCCGCCTCGAACTGGGCCTGATCCTGATGGGTCGTGTAATCGGCAACCCCACTCGCAGGGTCCTGATCGTAGCCAGGAGTCACCATCGCTAGCGCCACGGCGGTGCTACCCTCTTGCATTCTGCAACACCGTTTTCTCCATTAGTTTTCTCCCAATCTTCCCAACAATTATTTTCACATTATTATAGTTGAATTGTGAGGGCTACCGTACAATCATTAATGGGGTATAGGTACTTGACGGTAAATAATGTTTGGTTTCAATCTTAACGGCATAACCTAAGCAACCGATTGGTAGAAGTTTCATAAAAATAGAATGGAAAATAAGGAAATTTTTATATTTCTTTAAGTGTCACACGGACATAGTGTAGTCGTAAAATAGAACCTTGGCAAGTGGGTTCTATTAATATCTGTATACTGTCTACATTCCTCCGTTTTTAGAGTCTCAAAAAGGCAGCGGAAATAATTAACATCGATTCCCTTGTTAGCAGGGAAACTCCAAACATGAATTAGCGTTATGCAATATTGAAATTTTAAACAGCTCTTGACGTTGAATAAATGGAAGACACATCGGATCGAACGATAATTTACACAGTTCGTACAACCTGAATAAAACCCAAGAATTCTTCACATCCTGTATTTCTGTCGATTCATTTACCACAACTTGATTCTACGATCATATTATACATCGTCTACCAACAGTACATCGAACGGCTCCAGTTTGAAGTTCCGAAAATATCGAAATCTGAAAATGGAGCAGACGTGAGATTCGAATTGCGCGAGGGTAAAACCGTTTCGAATGTTGTGAACATGTCGTTACCGTCGAGTAGGTACAAGAACCCCGTCAAATATCGTGACAATCGAATACATTGACGATTCCTTTCTTCTCACCTATCATTCCTGTCTGGCACCATCCATCGTTGCCCAGGTCCTCCGGGGCCTTTGATGCAATGTCCAATTGTCTACGTGTACTCCGACCTTACAAATACTTCAACTGAAACAGAAAAAAAAAGGAAGATCATTGATACTTAGAGAATTATACGCTTTCGTTTATCAGGGGTGAGGAGAGATAAGGAATTATTCTTTATTCGATGACGCAGCCACGCGTCTTTCGGAACGGAGAGACGAGCGAGACAGAAAATAACAGCGGACAGAGACAGAGGTGAATCGTCGTGGGCACGGAGAACCAAACGATGCGCGGTACTGCATTTAAATGTCATCGTTAGACGGTCTCAACGCCATCGGCACTGTTGCCTGGCACCGGTTCTGCTTCCCATTCCGAGCGTTCCTTTTGAATTTTCCCCCGATCTCTCCCCTATACACGTCCCCACGGTATATGAATAAATAAAGTGCTGCGACACTACCGGTGACAAGGTGGCGGCACCGACCGAAAACCGCAGTTATCTCCGTCCGATGTTCATCAGAAACTAAGTAATCCGGTTTCAAGCTGCCCAACCGGATGTAATCAGAGGGGGCATTTGTCCTCTGTTTTTTTTTTGGAGGCCAGACAGCCAATTTTTGTGATTTTATTTTTGAGCAACTTTGAAAGTACTTTTCAACTTTGTATATTTGTATGTGTTTAAGGATCGTCTGCCAATTTTTGCATTAAAATGTATTCGAACAGTTATAATATTTACTTTCATACTGAGATTTTTTAGCTGCTAATAATTTTTTAATTTTATGAAATTAACTGAATATAATCATTTAAATAGTTATAAACTGAAACATGAGTTTTGTTACAAATATTAAGAAAATTGGAAACTCTTGCAAGCTTAAACATCACTGTTGCAGGGCTAACGTTGACCCATGATCTTCAAGGCATTAAACTTTAAGGTTATTTGATGTAAATACAATCATTGTAGATAAAAATGTAATATTTTTCGTTTAGTGCTGTATCTATAAATTATGTCTAATAAATGTACATTCCTACTCCGAACTTTCTATGTAATGATAATGTAATAATAATTCTCACTGAAAAGTGGCGTACGTATATTTAGGTCAATGTAACATACGAATTTTAACTATCATTGTTTGGATCGTAGATTCTAAGTAAATAATAAATACATATTAATTTTTCTATTTGATATTTCAAAAATGAATGTATTACTACGTTGATTAGTCTCTGTGAGTTGAACCGCATATTTAAAAAAAATAGCTACCGTCTTAAGCTATAAAAAGTATGCCATTTTGTTAATGATAAAAAAAAAGGCGAGATAGAACTCTGTATCTCTGAAACATCTCTACTTAAAGAAAAAAATCGATTGCACCATACAACATTTCCTCTCCGCTTTATAACCGAACGTTCTATACGTACGAAGAACTCCCTTGTCGAGGACAGGCTTTAATGCCTCAAATTATTCGATCGATCATATTGAAAATATTAAGAATCACCTCGTACATGATTCTTCATAATTCCCCATAATGGCCGCGAATTTGCATCTCCGAATTAATTTAATAACGGGAAAAAGGATGTACAGACTGCTACATAATATACGTGCACCACTTCAGGGACGCGCGTCGAGTCTGCACGAATAAGGAAAAAAGAATATTTTAATCCACTATACGTAATACTGTTCATCCAAGTAAAAACTATTAAATTTAAAATAAGGATTCTATAAAATCAATTTCTTAAATTAAAAAAATAATTGCATGTATACGTTTAAATCGAACATACTGTGAACAGGATATCCTATAACTGACGATGCAAATTAAACAAAACAGAAATGAATAATATGTTCTGATGCGGAGATCCATTTTCGATTAAATCGATATTGATAATTAATCACGTACGTCTGTATTTGAACGCCACATGGCTCGTCTGCCCGATTATTACAGATTACTTCTACTTATGGTAATTATTAACCATTGCTATTTAGAATAATGAAATGACAGGATAACATAACATTATCATTGTCTAAAACCATTCGATCAAAACCTATGTATGGAAGATAATGAAGTTGATGGAATACATACAGAATACAGCATATAACCATGATAACACCTTTCAAGTAGAAACAGTGAATAATGGTCAGACACAGTACCATCTGCATTCTAAACCAATACACGCTGAATTAATGTTAAAGTTCGATTCTATCAAAACCAAATGCTCTCACTGAAATTCTTCTTTTTTATTTTCCACTTATTTTTTTTAACCTAGAACCACCCCCTTCCTAGACCATTAGAAGGGAGCCCGTACAGAATTAGGCACAATTTTATTCAAGCAATAAATATTGAAAAGCAACTGTATCTAAGTTCGATATCATGACCTTTAAACAGTGAATGAGATTATTTGCCAAGTGTGTCCTCATTCGAGAAGTACAGTAATGTCTCGATGAATGCGACGAACTCGGATCCGTTTCGGAGCATTCGTGGCAGGGCGGTAAGGTTTTCAGCCCCTCATTTTGCTTTTTGCACGAAGCCGAACCTCTGCTTAGTTTCTATTTACTCTGTTTTGATTGTTTCCAAAAGGGAAACCCCCCAGTGTTGGGAATAACGCCATTGTTCGTGTCGCATTCATCGAGGACTCACTGTAATATTATTCTATTACAAAAATTGGAATTTTCACGTTAATCAATTAAAAATGGCGAAATATTTGTCTTTATCCTTGATTCATTACTCGAAACTGTTTATCTAAATAATGAATTTACTCATGTCTGGTCCAGTATAGTGGACACAGAATTCTAGCCAAAGTTTGGGTAATAGCCCGTCGCTGGACGTTTCATCAAAACTTTCGTTCTGTTCCGCACGGTTGAATAGATCGACGAAGAGAAAGATCTTCGCGTAACGACGTGACAGAAGTGGAGAACTGGAGGGGAAGACGGCTAGGTGGCGAATAGGAAGAAGGTGGACGGCCGGTAGAAAAAGCCGGTGGACAGAGAGGGGTAACCATTACTTGCAAGCGGTGCTTTCACCGGGCTCTGCGTCTTTCCGTTAAACCCGATATTTATTGTGCCGGTCCGCCTCTCGCCGCTTTCATTTAAAAATATTATCGCTGACGGGGGGAACGGTCAGCCACCGGGCTCGTTCCCGCAGCTGTGTCCACGTATCGAATCGACCTAAACGCGCGTTCGAATTTCCCACCTTTTTCTTTTCCCGCCATTCTGATCGAAATAATAAGTCGAAACACCTCTCGATGCTCCATTCATTGCTTCGGACTAGATATGGTGTGCGAAAACACTAACAGTAATTTATCGCAGAATCACGATGACGGTCGTGATTTAACATCATTCACGACCATGTTTTTTTTATCTTGAGTGAATTTTGCTCACTGCGATCGTAATGTTGACCCTTGAAAAAAAATTATATTCAATATTGAAAATGAATTCTATATTACTATTGGGGTTTTTAAAAATGAGTAAAGAGAAAAGAAATTATAAAAAAAATGATTTGTTATAATTATACGCCATATATGTTATGCAATATGTTGTTTCGAATTTTTAATCACTAATTTATCCATTATTCCTTTACTTTGTACAATGTAACTCGCATTTTTGCTTCGACGTCGTTAATATAAAATACAATATACCTACAGGGTATGTGACGCGTGCAAGAACTGTTGTTGTGTTCTCCACCAATCAGAAACTATCGCGAAAAATCATACGAATCCCTGTAAAAAATCACCGTGATTGGAAACGAACGTGATCGAATCACTCGTGATTCAGAAGTTCACGCCATCTCTACTTAGGACGGTTTCCTACCTATGGAACTCTACGGACAGTTCCTTTTAAGGGTTGCTTACATAATTAACAATTTGCTGACTTACAATGTTGATTCGGTCTTTAAGTAATGGGGCTAGTTTTATATGTCTTCCTTGTGAGACTGTGTTGCGCGGAATGGACAGATTTGAAGAATTACCGAGCGTAAATTTGATTGCTTATCAAAACTTCCGACATTGTTTGGAGATTTAGTTATTGGTGTCTTTTCCTTTTTTCATTTGTGATCTTCAAGGTCTAGTAAGAATATGTCCAGTATAAGCACGTCACGAAGTCAGACGACTCTTTAATGCGACAGACCTCTTATGTCTCCGTTTCGTGTGGGACAAAAGCACATAATCAACGGGAACGATAAATGTAGATATAAATAGAGTGGTTGTCCAATTAGACCACGTCCTGTGTTGTCCAAAGTAACCTCATCCTAAATCAGTTTCCCTTTTACACTAATGCTGAAATCTTTGGGAATGTTGAAAATAGGCCGGAAACCCTAGCTGATTAATACCCCACTATATATATATTATTACTAGACTACCGATTTGTATGCAAATATCAATTTTAACAGATTTATTTATGGAAACTAGGAACAAATAAAATTCTCTTCACTGCATTAAATATTCTATTAACTCCAACATAAAATGAAGACCATACTAATACTTATTATACTTTTTACTATACTGAATTTCAGACAGTTGAGTACGGTATAAATGCATTAAATCCGCAGTTTAATTATTACTGTCGACTGTAGCTACATACACTAATGCTCATAAGTATTTATCCGATCACATTTATTTCACTTTATTAAAAAATGTATCAAGTTTTTTAAAAGAAATCATTTTTCTTGTAATGAAGGATTTATAACGAGTAAACATTGTGTTCGTCTGCTGAGAAGTTCTTGTGTTGGGTGCGAAATGAACAAGTTCTCTTCTTCAGAGAATACTCTAACACCGTGCTATGTCTCTACAAATGTCATGTGGTTTTGTTGTGACGAGTTTATCTTTGATAATATTACTCGTAAGAGAGATTCGTACGTTATAAGAAAAAAAGAAAAGACAACAATGCACCAGTTCTAAACTGAATTATAAACACTTCCTGATTATCGTCTCGAACTTGGGTCCGCGTAGGGGCAATAATTTTGTAGGGAGAAATGTTTCAGACCCTCGTAAATTTTTCCTTTGCCTGAAGCCCGAGTCTTGGCAACAAAGTATGCCATTGACAGGTTCCACGCCTTCCCCCCCCCTCCAGTGGTGGGGATAACGTCTGGACAATAATCGTGTAGAACAAG